GGCACTCGGCCAGCTCCCTAGGACAGAGCAGAGAGATCAGGCATGACAGAGGGACGCTATCGCTCCCTTCCCTGCTGCTGCTGCCCTGGCTGCAGGGCTCTGCCTGGCCAAGGAGAGAGCCCCTAGGAAAGCAGAGGCACTGTGCAGAGCTGTGACAGCTTCATGGCACTAAAAAAGCCTTCACAGGTGCTGCCACTGCCCTGTGATACCTCTCCTTCTCTGCCATGATCAGCTTGGTCAGGTAGGAGTGCAGCTCGTTCTCCTGGTTGATCCGCTTCTCCTCGATGCTGTTCCAGCGTTTCTTCTTGGCAATGCGCAGCGCGCTGGGGATGTCGTCCCCAAAATTCAGCCGCTGCTCCTTGGCGAGGTTGTAGGCTGGAGAGAGAAAGGGCATCTTAGAGCCAGCACTGGCTTTCTTCTCCCTGCCCCTGGCCCTTTCTTGGTGGACGGGAACAGTGGCACCATGCCCACTCACCTCTCTGCAGGTTGGCAATGGCCTCGTCGTAGTTTTCCATCTCCATCTGGCACTGGCCCAAGAAGAAGTGAGCCTTCACCGACTGCCCATCCAGCTCCAAGGCTCGCTTACAGTCAGCCAGTGCCTTGTCGTGCTGCTGCATCTTCAGGTAGCAGAGGGCTCGGTTGGTATAGTAGACAGCCACCAACGGATTGCGGTTCTGCAAAGCAAGACCTGTGTTATGATTGGTGGTGGCGACTGCTGGCAGAGGTGAGACATGGTGACAACAGGGTGACAACTGGGTGAGCCGGCTGCTTAATGCCATCACCCTGGTGAGAGCCAGGAGTGCTGGCTCAGCCTTGCACCCCTGTGGGGAGCTGCCAGGACAGCAAGAGGACAAGCTGGGGCCAGTCCTCATGGGGCAGTCCGTATCCCCTCCCCTGGGGGTAACAACTTGCCCTACCAAGCCCAGCCTGGCGAGGTGGAGGGGTTAGGAAGACACAGGTCCAGGCTGGGGGTACCCTGGGGGGAGAGTGGACAAAAGGGGAAAGGGGTAGCTCAGAGCCTGCTGGTGGTACAGCCCTGGCTGGACAGCATCTAAGCCCAGGAAAGGGGCCAGAGCCAGGCTAGACTCAGGGGTTGTTGGCTAGGCCAGATCTGGGGGGAGCAGGCCAGGCCAAGGCAATGAGGGCAGAGGCAGGAGCAGGCCTAAGGAAGTAATCCAGGCCCAGAGAGGGTCCAGGCTACACCCGGGGGGAGGGGCAATGTCTAGGCCCGGGGGTCGCAACCCAAGGGTGTCAAGGCCAGGCCCGGAGCTGCGTCCAGGCCCAGG